AATGGATTATCAAGGAGATACACCAAGGCACATGCGCTTCTCATGCAGGCCCGAGAGGCCTCGAAAAGACAATCCTGTTACAAGGCCATTACTGGCCAACGGTAAAAAAGGATGCTGAGAAGGCGGTCCGTGCGTGTCATGAATGCCAAATTCACGCCAGCAAGCAACACCTGCCCAGCGCGGAGCTGAAGAGCATAACAAGCCCGTGGCCGTTCGCACAATGGGGGCTGGACCTGCTGGGTCCCTTTCCAACCGCCCCCTTGGGCAAGAAATATCTGGTGGTGGCGGTTGACTACTTCACAAAATGGATAGAGGCCGAGCCGCTGGACACAATCACTAGCGCCAAGATCCAGAAATTCCTCTTCAACAACATAATGATCAGGTTTGGTACTCCCCACACAATCATCACTGACCACGGGACACAGTTCGATTGCAGGCCGTTCGAAAATTTCTGCGCCAGGAACCGCATTACATGCAGAATGGCCTCAGTCGCTTTCCCGCAAGCCAACGGGCAGGTGGAGTCGTCCAACAAACTCATCCTCAGGGGTCTGAAAAGGAGGCTCAAGGAAGCCAAAGGGGGGTGGACCGCCGAGTTGCCACACGTGCTCTGGGCGCATTGTACAAACTACAAGAGAGCAACCGGAGAAACTCCATTCGCCCTGACGTATGGCTCCGAGGCGGTTGCTCCCACCGAGGTTGTTCTGCCCTCGCTAAGGGTCCAGACATACGACCCAGAGGAAAACCACAAGAAGCTGCTCCACCAACTGGACATGGTAGAGGCAAGGAGAGACGCGGCCCTGGTGAGAACCATACAGGAAAAGCTCAAGGTTGCCAAAATCTACAACAAGAAGGTGAAGCCTCGCCCGCTTGAGGAAGGAGATATGGTGCTCAAGAGGAATTTCGAGCAAAAAGAGGGGCACGGCAAGCTGGCCACCATATGGTAAGGACCGTTCCTAGTAGCGGAGAAGATAGGGACCTTCACATACGTGCTAGCTACCATGGAGGGGCAACCAGTAGCCAAGACTTGGAATGCTATTCACCTAAGGAAATACCATAGCGAGTAAGGAGGTGTAAGCCGTAGGAATTTTGTAAGAGGTCAACGCCGTGGTCAAAGGCGCTTTTGTTGGAGTGGTAGTCAACACTCCTGTAAATGACTTCAGTAATTCAAGTCGCCACTGATCGATATGTTTTCATGATTACTAATCTAAGTTATTCTCATAACTCTCAACCGCTTAACATAGCCGCGAACCACTCGCATGCAACCGCCTACAACGCCATACTAGGGGCTAAACCGCCCCAGAGCGATATCAACGTGCCCAAGTTCCTAACTCGAACAATAAGTCACTACCTAAACCGCCATATTGGGGCAGAACCACCCCAGAGCAATAACTACGCGTCCAATTAAGTTCCTAACTTGAACAATAAGGGGCCATGCCCCCCCAACCCGGACAGGAACTATGTCGCCGAGTAGAGGGAATAACATAACATTTTACAAAGTTTCACAAGTAAAATCCCACCTCACAAGCCTGTAAGCCGCTTTCGAACGGCAGGGAGCGCTTACCTCGAAGAGGACGTTTCTTCCGCCCCCGAACCCCCCCCCCCCAACAAAGGAGAAGAAGTGGAAGCTAAGGCAATCGAAACCGCAAGTAAAAGTTCCAAACATCTAGAGATTGAGAAGAAATAGCGTAAGCATCATCCAAAACAAAATATTACAAAACCTCGCCCGAAGGCGGAATGTATCAAACGCCCCAAAAGGGAGAAAGCGATAAGAACAGAACACTTGGTTAAATTGCTGATTAAACTAGGAGGAGCCGCCCTCGGTGGACGCTGGCTAGTTGACTTCTTCCCCGGTGGTGGTCGCGGTGGCCACGGGCTGGTCTCCCACTTCGGAGTTGACATCATTGTCACTCCAAAACTCCACCGCATCCCAGACCGCATTCCGATCCCACAACATGTACGGGTGATCGCGGCGGAACAGGTGGCGGATAGAAGCTACCGTATCTCGCAGTAACTTCTGGTACTTAGCTTCATCCACCGCCTTGAATTCGTCCGATTCAAAGAAGGTTGCGCGAGCACCCTCCCTAGCCTCGCTAAGCTCACGTTCCCGCCGCGCTTCCAAATCAGCCACCCGGGCCTCCAACTCTCCCACCTTGCTCTGCAACCCTTTTTTCCGCTCGGCCGCCTCCCGCACCTTCTGTTGGGCCCCATCCAGCTCCTGGGCCGACTTCGACAGATCCCCCCTGGCGGTCTGCAACTCGTCGTCCTTCGCCTTTAAGGCCGCCTCCTGCTCCTTGAGGATCTCATCTCGCAGCTCCCGGCGGAAGCCTTCGCGCCCCTCCTTCACCTGCTCCTCGAGCGTGAGGATTTTGGTCTCGCGCTCACCCAAGTCATCGAGCAGGCGCTCGTTGGCCAAGATAAGTTGGCTTATCCCGAATTGAGCCTACGCCCGCAAAGCCAGTCAGTGCCACATACATATCGAATAGCAGAGATGAAAATAAGTCAAGTCACTCACCGCAAAGAAGCACCGAGCGGTCGTTCCAGCCAGATGACGGGTGTCAGAGGTTGTGGGGATGGTACCCGCAACGCGCATGTACTCACTCGGAACGGCGAACCCCTCGGCAATGGCATGGAGGGCGCGGCGAGCTGGCTCAGCCGAAGAAGTCACATGCGAGGAATACGCCGCGCTGGAAGTAAGGGTGGTGGTCTTCTTCTTTTTCTGACTGACCGGCGGCTCGGAGCGCTGGTCAACAAGGATCCCTTTCAGCTTTGGCTGATTCCCCGCAGACGGCTCATCCTGGACTTCCACCACTTCTAGTGGCCGCTTGTTCGCGGAACGGGTCACTCCCTGACCGCTGGGGACGGTTAGTTTAAGGGTCCCCGTGCGTCCCAGCGCCAGCTGCGACTGGGTGGAGTCGCCCCCGGTCCGCGGGCCCTCCGAAGCAGTTGGACCGGAGATAACAGCCGTGGGGGACCCGCTCGTTGCCACCTTAGGCGGCCTCGCTGAGGACGCATAACGCCGGATACCTGAAAAATGAATACATAAGTAAAGGCATGAGCAAGCTACATCCCATCAAAGTCTAGGAGAACTAACTAACCGTGAAAACGCTGCACAATCTCAAGAGCGTTATCATGCCCATGCGGGGGCAACCAAAACTGGACAGTCGAGATGATGCGGTCGACGTGCGGTCTCAGATGCTGCAGCTGCTTGACCCCTTCGTCCCAGTCATCTGTCTGCCCGAAGGAGAACGCGGTCAATGGCTCCACGTCCCCAGAGTACCATTTCCCGGCCGGGCGAGCAAAGAAGTACTCACTATACCACGGGGAATCCAGCTTTGGGGATCAATAGACGAACCCGATATTCTTCGACCGCCTTCGGGGTGACCAGCAGTTCTTTGAGCCGGTCATGGCATACAGCAGCCGAAAGGCGTCAAGGGACGGCTTCTCCTTTAAGCGGTCGCAAGCCGCGCGATAGCAGATAGAATGGAATACTATGGAGGGAGAAAGGCGGCTCAAGGAACAGTTAAGATGCAAGAGCACCCCAGTGAGAAGCGGGTCCAGCGGGAACTCCAACCCTAGCCGCATGTGCTCCGTAAAAATGGTGATCCACCCGACGGGGCAAGAGCCGCAACGACCTTCGGGGGATGGAGCCGCATACTCCCAGTCAGTGGGAAGCTGGTGCCTATGAAGCTGGCGGAGCACTTGGGTAGGAGAGTAAGCGGGTTTGTACTTAGGTCCGTATGAATAAACCGCATCAGGAACCTCGCTCCCCTCCCACATATCCGCATGCAAGCGCACTCGGTACTCACGATCAGCAACCGCCTGAAACGGATAAATCATAGGCGTTTCCGACAGAACTAACGAAGGAGAATCTGCGACCGAGTCCTCCCTGTCTGAGTCGCGAGGTGTGTGTACTGGCACGTTTTCCAAGGATAACTCCACCAGGTTGTCCCCAACCCGGGAGGTCGCTCCGCGTTCAACCAGAGACGTAGCCGTGTCGGTTAGCACGCCCACTCCTAACCCTAAAATGCAACCGTCAGGTCTATCTACACGCTCGCTCGCGACAACCGCATTACCACCCCCACACAGCAATTCAATACCCTCTGAGTCCCATTCTATGCCGGATAAACTTAAAGAGTGGGAGAAAGCGGGCATACCTGCTCCAGGGGCAGGACCGCCCACGCTGGCGGTTTTAGCGGAGGTACGTGCGGCCCCAGCGCTGACTCGAGGAGCGGCGACGTTGCCGGCGGCAGTGGCCGCCGCCGTGTCGGACGCGGTGGTCGTCGCCGCAGCGGAAGGAGTGTTGGTGGCAACGTCGGAGGCAGACGGCGGCGCTGAGTCACCGAAAAGGCCGCGGTTCTGGCTATCAGAGGGAGTAGTTGCTTGAGAAACCATCGCGGACAATTGTTTCCTCTTATTCTTCTTGTCTCGTTTCTGGGATCTTCTCAGGGAAGATAGAAATCGATGTCGTTCCACAGGGATTGAAGGATGAGTCTCCAGATAACGAGAGAGGGAGAACTTAGAGCACCGCGCAATTTTGAAATAAGGAGCAAGAAACGGAGAATGCGAAGATTCTTCTCAATAGAAACACTCGGGGTAATATAGCAGCAAAAGAGACTGATGTGACGGTTGAGTGCCCGAGGGAAAGCTTTAGGCCGCAAAATTCAAAAAGCGGGCAGGTGAAAGGACATTTTGCCTGCCCGGTGTCAGAGCACGGTAACCAACGCACAGTGATAGACCGTCATTTACACATGTTTTTACCCCCATTCTTACACCGTTTGAGGTGTTGATTCTCGTGTTTTAGGCCGATTTCACGCTAGGTTGTGCTTGTTTGTGATGTTTCAGGTCCTAGTTACGTGAATGAAGGCTTAGGAGCGAGTCTGGGGTCGATTGGACGAAGAACGGACGAATGGCGAGGTTTTTGGGGAGCTGCACGGGCAGACCAGGGAGGCTGCACGGCCGTGCACGTGAGCAATATGGCCGTGCGCCTTATGCCGAGGACACGCACGGGCAACCCCTGAAGCTCGCACGGTCGTGCACCCTGGCCGTGCGAGAGGGCTGAAGTTCGACTAAATGACACGCGGCGTTTTGAGTTGCACGGCCAGAATGGTGATATGCACGGCCGTGCACCCTGGCCGTGCGAGTCGGGATTTCCTGGTTTTAAGCCAAATTCCGAACCAAAGAAGCGGGAGAGCTGGGTTTTTGGATCCCAAACACCCAAGGGACGAACCCTAGAGAGAGAGAGCGACTTGGGAACATTCTTGGAGCTATTTTGGAGGATTTCTTCGCCATTGGAGCTCGGGAATCAAGCTTGGAGATGGAGATTGAAGATCTAGATCAGATTTCTGCAGTCTCTCTCTTCTCTATGGAGTAACTTCCCTTCACTTAGGTTTTGAGGAACCCTAGCTATGTTTGTTTGATTGGATGATTGTATGAGTACTCTCGCTTGATAATCTTGAGTTCATATTCAATCTATGCATGTTTTCATGATTCAATTCTGCTTTAGTCGAGATTATTGATTCTGCTTTGATTCTATGAGAGGGAATACCTGATTAGGTCAATAGAGCACCATAGATTGATAGTAGTGGATCGATTGCTTTAGTCGAGGGTTGATTCACTGCTTTGTATCGATTGAGAACCTCTTTCGATAGAGGGAGTCTAGTTCAGAACGCCTTGATCAGTTGTTCTAGAGAAGGATACGTCCCTCTAGGCAATTGACTCAAGAGGGCCTTGTTCCTTTAGTCGAGACTCAAGGTCTAGTCAAGGATTCTCCGCATTGTGAATGAAAGTGAAACAAGTTGGAAATCATCAATTGTTTGTCTGGCTAGTGGCTAGGGGGAATCATACCTAAGTGAGTTCCCAACCTGTAATTAGATTAACTTTAACTGTAGTTTGCTAGAGTAGTTTTAGTTCTTTCGTCTTGATCTGATTTGCTAAATAATAAACTGAAGCTGAGTAATAGTAACTCTAGAGACCCGTGGATTCGATATTTATCACTTGAGCCACTATACTGCAGTCTCATTCTGCGATTACACTTGGTCGCAGTGTGGTGTTGTGTCGTAGCGAGTCAAGTTTTTGGCGCCGTTGCCGGGGACTTTCTAGAGTATTAGGAAAGGCAGAAGTTTGTTACTTTAGCGTTTTTCGTTTCTTTTCTTTTCCACCCTTGCTTTTCACTTGGGTGTTTTTGTTTTTGTTGGTGCAGATCTGAATCATGGATCCTAATGGCTTCTCCAATCATTGGGAGTATCCACCACCATCTGGGTGGTATTACCCCGAGACTCCGTGGAGCAATCAAGGCGGAGAAGACTATGGATTCGGGTTCCAGTACCAACCCCCTTACTACGGAGAACAACTGGACCCCTGGGCATATCAAGAACAACCTCATTACCAAGAAGAATTTCTCCCACAACCAGAAGGGCCATTGGAGCTGGAGTTACCCATGGCGGCCTTCACGGGCCATTCTGCAGAGCCATGCTACACTCCACAGCCAGATCCACACTATGATTTGAGGCTTCTCATGGAGAGATCATGCTCCAGTATGGATCATTGTGTCCAGGCCTATCGTGAAACAGAGGGGATCCTCCTGAGCCTTAAGAAGAGCGTCGATGATCTTGAGCGATCTTGGGCGCAACCTGCTCCAGATCACCCTTCTGCTACCATACAAGAAGATGAGGAGGAAGAAGAAGGCTACAAGGACATTGTGGAGCACACTGAAGTTGTCACGGAGAGCTCCCGTGATGATCATGATCAGGAGTGTCATGTCGTAGCCGACCACACCTTCCCACACCCCAAACTGAGCTTTGAAGAGGCGGGCATGAGTTCGGAGATGCAAGAAGATCTCATGAAAGAAATTGCTTGGCAACTTGCTCTCCAATCCGTGCTAGAAGAAGAAGAGCAAGAAAGGGTGCAGAAAGAAGTTGTGGAGGATGGCGAAAGTGAAGCTGGAGAAGTTCTTGATCATTTCCCAGGGGTGATACCACATGAAGAAGGAAGGGAGGTTGAAGAAGCAATTGGCGTCCAGACTGAGGACGAAGTTGAGGTGGAAGAGGCTTGCACCGGCCATGAGTTACATGTGATATCTCCACCAAACTTCGAGGAACTGCTTAGCAAGGACCCATTTGCAGTGTCTCTTTGCCAGACCAAGGCCACATCGACATCGGTCCCTCTTGGTGGACGCGATGGTGGTCAATCGATGCTGTCATATCTGGTTTGGGGCAATGAGACGAGAGAAAAGAAGAAGAGGTCTCGAGGGTGGAGACGTTATCTGCATCAAGTGCACGAGCTTCCATCACCTGTCATACCACATGCTCGTGACTTGAGACTCCACCTCATCGACGAGAACCTCAACTTCAAGGAGGTTTTGGGGTGGACCGAAACTTAGGAGCCATCGTCCGGCTCACGACGTGAAAGAAGCGCTTGTTGGGAGGCAACCCAACCAGTCGGTTTGCATTTCTTTCTCTATTTCTCTTCGGTTGAGTCAGTTTTGTTCTTTGATTTCAGAGTCAATAATTCAACCTTTGTGAGATTTTGTGTGGTGTTTGTGTTTCGACTACTTTGTCCTCCTGGAATGCACCGCCTTCCCCGTCCACAATCATTCACCGTTGATATGGTAACTTCGTTCTACCCTCCTTATCTTTCCTCCATTGAGGACAATGTCGTGCTTAAGTGTGGGGGGATGTTCGATTATGTATGTGTGTGAATGTTTGACTGTTTGTGTCTTGGAGCCTAGTCCACTGTCCAAATTTCGATTTGAGGGCTCCAAGTACGTGTTCCATGCAATTGCCTGCTCAGTATGCTTTGAATTGACAGTCTTTATAGTAATATGCAACCTAGGGAGGTAGTGTAGCACTATGGAGGATGTTGATGCATTTAAGATGTCTCATTTCTTCTTCATATTGTGTTGGTTGATTGAGTGAATTAGTGATCTTAGGACCCCTGAATTGTGTGGTGTTGTGGACTCTCTACCTGTCATGGACTCTTGTTTCATGTTTTGAGTTTAACAGGTGCTCGAAAAATGTGCTTTAAAATAACGTCTCCCGTGCGAATAGAGCGAAAGTGTGTAAGGGGAGACGAGAATTCGTTCCCAATTTTCACCTACTACCTCCAGCCCCCTTACATGTCTTTCCCCCGCACGAGGCTCGAGACACCCGCTCCTGGCATGGCCGGTAAGAGCCGGGCTCCCGCAAAACCTCTGCTAGGTGGGAGCCCCCATTTTCTGAAAAGCAGGTTGGGACCCTTGAAAAAAAAAAAAACAGAAAACAAGCAAAACAGAAAGAAAAGGGGTTCCAACCGTCTTCAAAAAGAAAATAAGAGCACCTTGAAAAATGTGAGTCCATGATCTTTTGTTTTTGAGAATCTCTTCATCCACAATTCATTTGTCCTCTGTTCACTATTTGCCGTGATGCCGACTCGCCGAAGAAGTTATGAGATGACTTGTGCGTCGGTTGACCTCGTAAGTTGCTAAATGATCTAGGAAGTCATCTACCTACGATCTGGGTTGTTTGTTGCTATAGAGGTCTGGAGAGTTGCATTGGTTTGAGTTAGGTTTGCTTGGGGACAAGCAAACGGTTAAGTGTGGGGGAGTTTGATAGACCGTCATTTACACATGTTTTTACCCCCATTCTTACACCGTTTGAGGTGTTGATTCTCGTGTTTTAGGCCGATTTCACGCTAGGTTGTGCTTGTTTGTGATGTTTCAGGTCCTAGTTACGTGAATGAAGGCTTAGGAGCGAGTCTGGGGTCGATTGGACGAAGAACGGACGAATGGCGAGGTTTTTGGGGAGCTGCACGGGCAGACCAGGGAGGCTGCACGGCCGTGCACGTGAGCAATATGGCCGTGCGCCTTATGCCGAGGACACGCACGGGAAACCCCTGAAGCTCGCACGGCCGTGCACCCTGGCCGTGCGAGAGGGCTGAAGTTCGACTAAATGACACGCGGCGTTTTGAGTTGCACGGCCAGAATGGTGATATGCACGGCCGTGCACCCTGGCCGTGCGAGTCGGGATTTCCTGGTTTTAAGCCAAATTCCGAACCAAAGAAGCGGGAGAGCTGGGTTTTTGGATCCCAAACACCCAAGGGACGAACCCTAGAGAGAGAGCGACTTGGGAACATTCTTGGAGCTATTTTGGAGGATTTCTTCGCCATTGGAGCTCGGGAATCAAGCTTGGAGATGGAGATTGAAGATCTAGATCAGATTTCTGCAGTCTCTCTCTTCTCTATGGAGTAACTTCCCTTCACTTAGGTTTTGAGGAACCCTAGCTATGTTTGTTTGATTGGATGATTGTATGAGTACTCTCGCTTGATAATCTTGAGTTCATATTCAATCTATGCATGTTTTCATGATTCAATTCTGCTTTAGTCGAGATTATTGATTCTGCTTTGATTCTATGAGAGGGAATACCTGATTAGGTCAATAGAGCACCATAGATTGATAGTAGTGGATCGATTGCTTTAGTCGAGGGTTGATTCACTGCTTTGTATCGATTGAGAACCTCTTTCGATAGAGGGAGTCTAGTTCAGAACGCCTTGATCAGTTGTTCTAGAGAAGGATACGTCCCTCTAGGCAATTGACTCAAGAGGGCCTTGTTCCTTTAGTCGAGACTCAAGGTCTAGTCAAGGATTCTCCGCATTGTGAATGAAAGTGAAACAAGTTGGAAATCATCAATTGTTTGTCTGGCTAGTGGCTAGGGGGAATCATACCTAAGTGAGTTCCCAACCTGTAATTAGATTAACTTTAACTGTAGTTTGCTAGAGTAGTTTTAGTTCTTTCGTCTTGATCTGATTTGCTAAATAATAAACTGAAGCTGAGTAATAGTAACTCTAGAGACCCGTGGATTCGATATTTATCACTTGAGCCACTATACTGCAGTCTCATTCTGCGATTACACTTGGTCGCAGTGTGGTGTTGTGTCGTAGCGAGTCACACAGCCACGTGTATAAAGTGTTTCCACCAGGAAAACCCGTAAGGCGGTCGGACCGCTGCTTAGGCAGAAGCAACCCTAGGTCTCTGGCGACCAGGGGCAGAATAGGACAAGGAGGAGAAGCAAACCGCTCAACTAGCTGAGAGCATTATAGGTAGCCGCCAAAACCCTAGACTTTTCCCGCCTAAGGGGCAATTGTTGGGCCGCATAGTTGAGCGTGTTTGGGCCTCGGGCCCAAGAGAAGCGAGTCGGAGTTAAAGGCCCAATGAGGAGGCCAGGCCCGATCGAAAGACCGAGTCAGCGGGCGGTCCATGATCGACTGCGAACCCGAGGAATAAGATAAGGGCGCCTGACATAAAGCAACTGAGTAGCGCAGAGGGGCAGAGAGCCGTTGAAGATGCGTATCTGGTGTCAGGCAAGACTGAGCATTTATTGCCAGCCACAGGCGGCCTGCAGAAAGGCTGAAAGCCTGCCCAAGACGCCTGACATTCCCCAAAAAGCCTGAACGGGCGCCCGACCAGGTCTGGGGCGCCCGACACAGCATTTAATGCCCCAACCACCCTTTAACCAGGTATAAATAGAGGGTGAGTGCATTAATGGTAAGGCCAACTACTATTCATCTCTCTACATAAATTCTGATCTTCCCACTTCTCTCTCTAACTTAAGCTTCGGAGAGTGTCCCGGGCGAACCGCCCCGGACCGCTGTTTTGCAGAGTATCAGGAGTGCTCCCCGACATCCAAGATCAGGCTCCTCGCCCCAGCTCCACAAACCGCCTAGTATCTACTAGGCACAAACAACTTAGATCTGGCACATCAATACAACATTTAATAAATGAGGACTTTTTTAATTACTGACAGGGGTAGATTGGGTATTATGAAAAATTATAAACAATACAAACCATACAAAGTACAAACTATAACGACAAAACGTACAAACAAACATACAAATAATACAAACTATACAAACAATACAAAATATAAAAAGTGGAGAAACAACTAGGTTGACTTTGGATGCTCCATCCCTATATAGAGGGGCACCGTCCGAAAGCCAACCCGGTTGTATTTTAGACATACAAACATGGTTGACAAAAATGACAAACTAGATCGGCAAATCATACAAAATAGAAAAACACTCGGGTTGACCATCTCTATGTAGAGGGGTTACGTAAAAAAGTCAGCCAGGTTGTTTTTTCTAAATAAAAAACATTACAAACATGGTTGCCAAAAGTAACAAAGCTTACACACGTTACAAAAGAAACCGACAAACATTACAAAATAAAAAATCTTACAAACATTACAAAATAAACTGACAAATATTACATATTATACTAACAATACAAAAAAAAACACTACTTACAATATAAATCGATAAAATTATATTACAAATCAATGAATACAAAGTATACAAATTATAAAATAAATTATACAAATTAGACAAACAAATATTACAAATTACAATGTGTACAAATTCTTCATATAACATTACAAACATAATAGATAAAAATGACAAACTAAAATAATAAATGATACAAACCAAATAATAAACAATACAAACGCTGTCTTTAAGGGCTGAGATCGACTTAGACGATTTAGACAACTAAGACAAGTGAACAAGGGACCTCTCACAATAGCAAGGAGATAGACTCTAAAACAACCTGCAAGACAGAGAAAGAACATGATGAAGGATCATATATCAATCTACACATAATATAATACGCCGAATGGAAAAACGGGAGCCCCATTTCAAATTTCCTGCAACGAGAGTGAATGTAGGAAAGACATTTTGGTCTTCACAATTACTTTTTTTTATTCATTAATAAGACACGTACTGGGATACGAACCATGACCATTTTAAAGAAAAACAAGGATCATAACCAATCACACTAAGTACATTTGTTGTATCTTTTTAAATTAAAAACATATAATAGCAGGGAGTAAAAAACCGTTCCCCCATTTCAAATTCCCTGCTCCATGAGCGCTTGTAGGAAGGGTAGAATAGAGAGTGTCAATTTTTTTCTCTTTCCTCTGTGGAACGGGCCAACTTACCGTACACATGCAGATTTAAACGGGTCCAGGAGTGTCAATTTTTTTCTTTAAGCCCTTTTATTTCTCCGTGGTGATAAAATATATATGAAAAGGCAAAAACAATACTTCTTTTTATTGCTAAAAAAAAATTTAACAATAAACTAATGCATCATATTTAATGGGCTAACCGCTAACCATAAAATAAAAGAGTTGAATGAGCCTGACCTACACAGAATTTGGCCATCAAGTAGAACAAATGAACATCATTGGTTTGACATTCTAAAACAAGCTATTTTCTCTGGCATAATATATATTATGCTATTATTTTATATCTTAGTGGCTAAAATATAATGTATTTTAAAGTTATTCAATGGTTCAACCTCGACCAACCCAATTAGTCCAATTTTTATCATTTCAAATATATATTATATACTTATTTGATATCATAATTATCAAATTATAGTGTATTTTATAGGGAATCGTTTGGTATTTGTTAGTAAAAAAACTAAACAGAAAGATCTATTTGGTTATTTTAAACATTAAAACGATCCTAAACATTTACAGTTCCTTTTGAATTTCTATGGTTTTATTCCCGAATAAGTATTGTGCAAATGGCGAATTGTAGTCATCTCTTTTCTTTCACTATTTTTTATTTTCAAATAGAAAGTTTAAAAGTAAAGAATAATTAGAATTTGGCATGAGTCGGTCAAACATGCTGAATTTCAAGTTTTGGCCCGTTTTGATCAAGTCTAATTTATAATTACATGGTTCCATGATACCCGATAAAAATCTCAATCTAAACCAGTTTGGCAGGTGAGTCCGTGTTTACCACCATTTTTTAGGGATACGACAATAGTGGTTCCTATCCCAAATCGTGTTGTTCGTTCTTGATTTCCTTAGATTTTATCATGGTCTGACAAAAACCAGAAAGCACAATGACGAAAAGATGAAAGTTTTATAAAGCAAATTAATCGGCCAACGAGCCGAGTAAAAGCTAGCAACGATTGTGAGATGCTCATTTCTCGAAAACCGATGGGATAGGCAATTTTTTATTCGATTTTCTGGAATTCGGTTTCTATAAAACTTACTCCACCTCATCATATTACCAGAAATAATATTGTTTCACAAGGGCACAGATACTTGATTTTGGTTCATAAGGCCGATTTTTGATTCGTTGCATCATTCATGTCTCTTTTCTGCTAAAATTCACTATTTTTATCACGTGTTTCCTAAAAAAAAATTATACAACAATAAGTGTTGGGTATGGATTAATATGCCTACACGACTATAAACGGGCCCAAGCCCACCGCAAGGCGTCCTGGGCCCAAGCCCACTCAAGGAAGCCCAAACCCTATATAAGGAGGCCTAACTCTCCGAACTAAAGGATCCTCTCTTCCCTTCCCACACTCTTACTCTTAGGTCTCTCTCTAAACTCTCTCTCTCTCTCTATACTATAAACCGCATACTATATCGTACTAACTTGGGCGTCGGAGCGTAGATCCCGGGGGCCGCCCCCCGCCTCACAGGTTCTTCCACTCCCGAGGAGATCAGACGAGAGAGTCCAGATCAGAGCCCCATAACCGCCTAGTACATTCTAGGCTCAAACAATTTGGCGCCCACCGTGGGGCATCGATCTGGAACTCTAATGTTTGGTTTCTGAAAGAGGGAAGGAAACAACTCCTCCACCAATTACCAGCGCCAGCTACAACGGCCAAAACCGCCCAGAGCTGCCGGAGCAAAACAAAAATAGAAGGAAAGGAGCTTTATGTTGGAGAAAAGAGGGGTGAATAAAGCAAGCAGAAGCTTGGGACAAAATGGAAGAAATCATATCATCCCCACAAAGTTCAAGGGACGGAAACAACTAGTAGCTAGATCTTCATTATTGCCAGGGGCTTTCTCTTCGTCTCGCCCCAAAGAGAAGAAAACAAAATCGGCGGTCGCCACCACCACCACCGGCGGTACAACCGGTCACTCGGTGTCGCCAGTACAACTTGTCGCCATCAACGATCGTTGTCTCCTTGCTCATACCTGCCAGCATTGACATCACCTCTGATCATCTCGGATCTGCGAAAATGGAAAGAGGAAAAAGAAGAGCTCAAGGAAGAAAAGCCTGTTTCATCTCCGCCGTGCAGCGCGTCGTCTTCACCGGTCGTCGCCCAGCCACTCACCTCCGCCGGCAAAGCTCGATGCAGCCGCCAGTTGCCGCGCCATTGCTAGTCCTCGCCGTAGTCACCAGTAGCCGCCCAGCTGCTCGTTAACGCCAGCGCCGACGTTTTCTTCCCTCTGTGTTCATCACCATCACCAACCAGCCAGAAAACAACGAGGCAGCAAGCCAACAATTCAGATTCTGGTCACCGGGGTTGCAAGCACCACCGACGTTCGACGGAAAAAGAAGAGGTCTTGTCGTGGTCACCATCATGGTTTTTCCCAATGACGCCGAAAGTAGAGAAAGTTCCTTTGCTCTTTGTCAGAAAAAGCAGACAGACACAGATATTGAGGAGAACAGTTATCGAGGCAGAATGGATGGGAAACGCTCAAGAAGAAGGGACTCAGCGTCCAAAAAGGGTCAGCCGACATTCTCCACGCTGAATCACTACCCTAGCCCGCTAAGGAGGACCAAACCGCCAAGGCCCACATCCTACATGACAGACCGCCAACAAAGCTTCAGGATGGGCCCGCCAAGTAACAACCGCGTCCCACCTCAAGTTTCTCAACGCTGGCCCAACTTCAACGCAGTGCCACCCCCACAAGTGGACCGCCCCGCTTTGCAACTAGCCAGATCCGGCCCCCAGCACGACCCAGCCACATCATGACCACCACAGTGTCGGACCTGCTTCATATTTAGTTGCATAAAGCGGTCCCTCCTCACGTCGAGTGGGCCGCCGCCATTGGGCCAGGTCTGCTTCCATTCAGCTTCGTCAGCCCTTAAGCAAAAACAACTTCCAATGAGATTCGAACTCGCACCACGCTTCAAACAAGGAAGAATGCAAACCATCGAGCTACACAACCGCTTGATGCTACAAAAACGACTGCCCAATATTTATATCAAGCCAAGATTCAACATCTTCAAGTAAAGCCCAACGCCTTCTTCACGCGGACCGCTTTCGTCCAGCCCATCGCCCGCCTACCACTAGACCAGTCCACGAACCGGCCCGCTCAAGCCCAATGCGGCCCGCCTCTAGCCCAAAGAGCATCTCCCACTTTGGCGGCCCAGACTCCAGCGGCCCGCGCCTCCTCTCTCCACATCTGGACCGCTCAAAGAAAGACGAGACACGTTCAGCAAAAAAAGTAGAGAACTGCCTCTGCCAAGCTTCGAACCAATGACCACAACCAAGAAAGTACAAGGCGCTCACCAGCATACCAGGATGATTAATCATGATTCAATTCGGTACGCTATGTATTTATCATGATGCAAGCCCATCTCAGGCTGACCACCTTCCAATCGACTCACTCTGCCTCCACCACAAACATCTCCAACGATTTGGGCCGCCTACCATTAGCCTGCACGAACCGCCTCCCATTTCAGTCCAGTCCACCGCGCAAGCCCATCTCCAATTGTGCAACGCGGGCCCGTCTCCAACTTGCGGCCCGCGTCTCGTCATTGAAGCCCAAGTGAGCCGCAGACAGCCCATCAGGACTAGCACGCTCCATCTCCTTCAGTTGTGCAACGCGGGCCCGTCTCCAACTCCGGCCCGCGTCTCGTCATTGAAGCCCAAGTGGACCGCAGACAGCCCATCAGGACTCCAATTAAAAAAGAAATAGGAACGCCTCCACCAACCTTTGAACAACCGACCTTTAATTAATTAGCAGAAGCGCCAACCACTACACTACAAGGAAGGAATGCTAATCAACAAAGGCGGTCAATACTTAACCGCCCTCCAACTTATCCAAAGCTAAGTTACTTTTAGAGATATATATCTTATGCAAAGCGGTTCATTACTATTATGCTAGGCGCTCTCTATGCTATGTTCAAACATTAAATATATTGCACCCTAGACACTTGCATCTTTCTTGGATACTCAAAGACTCACGCCTCCGACCTCCGGGTTAGGCTCGAAGACTCCGCCTCTGAGCGATGCTCCCTCCGGGGAATGCTTCCCGCCTCCGAGCGGTCCCCCCTCTGGGGAATGACTCACGCCTCCGACCTCCGGGTTAGGCTCGAAGACTCCGCCTCCGAGCGATGCTCCCTCCAGGGAATGCTTCCCCGCCTCCGAGCGGTCCTCCCTCTGGGGAACGATTCATGCCTCCGACCTCCGGGTTAGACTCAAAAACCGCCTCCGAGCGATACTCCCTCTTGGGAATGTTTTTCGCCACCGAGTGATGCTCCCTCTAGGGAATGCTTCCCGCCTCCGAGCGGTCCTCCCTCTGGGGAATGATTCACGCCTTCCGCCTCTGGACAAGGCTCGAGCATCGCTCCGCGGGCTAGAGACGGAGTGTCTACCATCAAGCAAGAAGGCGGAGCGCCTCTCATAGGATGAAAGACTAAGGCGCTTCCCAGGAATCCGAGGAGCGATGCGCTTCCCAAGAAGCCAAGGGAGCAACGCCCTTCCCAGGAAACCGAAGAAGCGATGCGCTTCCCCGGAAGCCGAAGGAGCAACGGGCTTCCCAAGAAGCGAAGGAGCAATGCGCTTCCCAGGAAGCCAAGGGAGCAACGCGCTTCCCAGGAAGCCGAAGGCGCGAGGCGCTTTCCAGGAAGTCGAGGAGCGATGCGCTTCCCAGGAAGCCTAAGGAGCAAAGCGCTTCCCAGAAAGCCTAAGGAGCAAAGTGCTTCCCAGGAAGCGAAGGAGCAAGACGCAAGCGGAGGAGCGATACGCTTCTCAGGAAGCCGAGGGAGCGATGCGCTTCTCAGGAAGCAAAGGAGCGATGGGCTTCCCAAGAAGCCGAAGGCGCGTGGCGCTTCCCAGGAAGCCGAAGGAGAAGCACACCCCAGGAAGCTGAAGAAGGACTAAGCTTTCCAGAAAGCTGAAAGACTAATGAGCTTCTCAAAAGGCGAAGTACTAAGCTTCCTAGAAGAGAACAGTTGATCTTGCCTCACACAAGACATTAACAAGACACATGAATTCCCGACAACATGGACACGACATTGCTGAGACACGAAACAAGAGCGTCTTGAGTTAAAACTCTCAAGCCATGGGGGCCACCCTACCTAGGTCGCAATTATGGTCTACTAGCGCTAACAACAATGGACTAGCGAAGGAACTCTTAACAACTTGAGAGCTTTAGTTCAAGACATCGAAAGATAAGCAAGGGGCAGAAGAAATGATCACGCAACTCGCAAAAGGGGCAAACCGCATCATACGGATTCGCAAGTAAGGCAAATTAATACACGATTAACGCATTATATTACTCCTTCCATTCTTACAGAATACAAGAAGTAAATGGGCAATTGTTGGGTATGGATTAATATGCCTACACGACTATAAACGGGCCCAAGCCCACCGCAAGGCGTCCTGGGCCCAAGCCCACTCAAGGAAGCCCAAACCCTATATAAGGAGGCCTAACTCTCCAAACTAAAGGATCCTCTCTTCCCTTCCCACACTCTTACTCTTAGGTCTCTCTCTATACTATAAACCGCATACTATATCGTACTAACTTGGGCGTCAGAGCGTAGATCCCGGGGGCCGCCCCCCGCCTCACAGGTTCTTCCACTCCCGAGGAGATCAGACGAGAGAGTCCAGATCAGAGCCCCATAACCGCCTAGTACATTCTAGGCTCAAACAATAAGCTATACACCACATTACATTATCAAATTTCATACCTCACCTTCCTCCGGCCAAGTGGCGGGGCCACACTAGTTAGTGATGAGATTTGATAATGGATTCCACAGTTACAATTCCGGAGCACCCGCTCCCCTGCGCCTACGACGACCGCTGGGCCGCGCTCAAATGGGCCGCGGCCCACGCCGCGGGATCCGGCCTGGAGGAGTGGCTGAACTCGGGCGTCGATTTCGGAAGGGTTTTCGTGGCCGGGGACAGCGTCGGCGCCAACATCGCCCACCGCGTCGCCATGAGGAACGCTGGGGAGAATCTGATTGAGCTGCTCGGGGCTGTGCTTGTGGATCCGTTCTTTTGGGGTAGGACCCGATCGGGGATGAAGCGGGTCGGGCCCTGCCTGTCAGGTTGTGGCGGCTGGCGAATCCGGGTTCGGAGAAGAGCGGGTTGGATAACCCGGAGATAAACCCCGCCGACGACCCGAAGCTGTCGGGTCTGGGTTGACGGCGGGTGCTGGTTCTGGTGGCGGAGAAGGACACTATATGAAGGACAGAGGGAAGCTTTACTGCAAGACGCTGGGGAAGAACGGGTGGCCAGGCAAGGCGGAAAAGATGCGGAGAGGATGAACCGCATCGTTTCCTTTTTGAATCGGTTAGGTAGCGGCTCTTTATAAAACAAGGTTCAGAAAACCGTACCGAAGTTTATACCGAAAAATTGCGGTAGGGTATTTCGTACTACAATCGTAATTTAACCGTGATTAAACCGTATCCTATCGCTAAAAGTGCTTACCATTTTGCATCTGGTATCCTCGCGAACAGCAGTGGGTAAGAACTTGAGATACCTCAACGTCTTTAGGAAACAGTTAGACATGAGATCGTAAGGATGACTAGACTTTAGAATCTTTATCGCGTAGCAATGTAAAACCCCATAGCTCTCCCGCCAAAAAAAAACCTTTAAATCCTATCCACGACTACGAGAGCCCCAAACTTTGATATTCAAGATAGGCAAGGTAAGCAAAACATGACTTGCACATCAGTCTTCGCCGGTACCAATACCATGGCAATGAATGGGAGAGAGATAAATAACTTGATTCGCTTTCTACAGTACAAAACTACTATATGTCACTAGTATTGTATTAGGGTACAAACTCAGCATCAGTCTCCATAGTACATCCGAGGCCGAGAAGCAAGCAATTCTCCCCCGGGGGTTTGCGATGCTTCAGCTTCGAAGAACCGCCAAGATAGAGAGAGCACTTCATTCTCCTAGTGGCTGTTGGGGAACTTGGCTTCATATTCATGGGGAGGCTGCAAATTCGCATCGAGCAAAAATACAAACGAATAGGACTAAGGCATCTTAACCCTGAATATGTAAATGAGGATAAACAACTATGGATTACCATGAAAGTTGCTGAGATTGATCGTCGAGCAAACCACCTCATATGCATTGCAGCCTGAGCTCTGGCGGCTGCTTCCACGGTATCGAACCGTAAATACACAAACCCTGCACTATTCCTGTAAAAAAAAAGGCAGATAATAAATGAGACTAACAAGTTTTCACACAAGCTGACACTGAGGGGAAAGTAGAGACAGAATCATATAGCACACTTCTTTCCTTCTGTAGCAAATATTTTAGGGACTTGATCGAAACTTAATGCTAATCCACCACCATAGATGTCAATACGGTCGATGAATCATAATTAAGCTCGGAATTCATAGTATTTTCCTTCTTAATTGGTTAATTAGACACTGCCATCTTTAAGCACCCAAACCAATTAGTCAATAAAGAAATATCTCATTCAATCTCGCGTAACCCAACATGGTAGTTTCTAAGATAATCATCTCATACCTTTTAAAATTGCAGTTTTCAACATAAAGCATTCATTGAACATTGAAAGTGAGGCACCTAAGAAGTTTGCTTTGCTTACTTCTCAACATATATATGTTTCACGTGACCATATTTTGAACATTCTTCTTCAACATCGTCCTTTATGTCCACATCAAAATCTGGTTCAGTCTGTGAAGAGATATTAGCAGATATATTAGGGTTCACCCAGCTATAAGTTTTGTATAAAATTGAAGGAGAAGAGAAGAAAAGAATCCACATACCTCGGTGGAAGGATCAAACATGTTTTTCAACAGTAAGCACTCACTGGGGTTTCCAATAGATTCATAGGCTGGAGAAGGTAGGACATGCACTGGAAGAGCTCCTCCAAGTGCGGGATGACCGTTCACTTGCAAGGCCATGGTTTGTGAATTTTGAGCAGAGCCATTAAGCATAGTCACCCCAAGGGAGCCAGAGATACTGGAGAAAGAAAGATAATATTTTAGTGCTTAAATAATACTCACAAAAAGCGAGTAAGCCATATATATTAAGGATGGTAAAGAGACCTTGTGGCAATGCCAGAGCGATCCAGCTTCTGCATGAGCATTGCTCTCGATTGAGCATTTAAGGACTGCAAGATAAAACTAATACGAATTAGTCGCAAGACACTTGTTGAAGTTCCACACCCAGATGATAGAAGTAACTATTAATACCAATCAGAAAATATGTGAAATTCTCAGCCATAGAAAACATATGGACAGTCAACGCATGACTTATACAACAGGGAAAAGGTAAAGAGAGGACTCAGCTTTGCAATAACTGAGGTTACAGGTGAAACTTTAACCATAACTAATTCAGTCAGGTGTAAAGTATAACAAGGACCACGTCCGACTTTGTTTGTGTTTTGCTATGATATAGTATGCTTTGTGTCTATGAATTGAGAAGATAATACATGTATATTTATTTCAAGGGTAAAGCAAAATAAACTGACCAAACCACCACCATCATCGTCATCAAAGTCAGCAGATTTAGCCCCAGGATCTTGCTGCCCTCCATGTTCTGTGACAGAGGAAACCTGGCATATACAACAGTAAGAGAGGAACTTGTTAAAGGCTTATAAACAAAATCTTCCTATAAATTGGTCGAATTCATAAATTATCTGCAAAGTGGTGTATATCCTAAGGTTTAAGCCAACCTTCAAGGTCCGACCAGCAATCTCCAACTTCCCATTTAAATGTGTCTGTGCTTCCTTTGCACTTTCAACTTGAGCAAACTGCAGGATAAAAACCATTACGATAATGCCAACTGGGATGAACCAACCATCGAACAAATTAGAGGCTTTCACTCACTTGAACAAACCCAAATCCTTTGCACTGTCCTGTTTCAAGGTCAAGGGGCAGCTGAACAAGCTCCACAGTTCCGAATGGCTCAAAAAGCTGACAAATTACCATCCAAGAAAGATGAGGCGTTACCAGATGATGAAAGGTAGCAGCTCTTACTAAATACGAGGCATAATTAGCACTAACGAAATCAAACTATATATATTCAACCATTACCTGTCTCAGCTGCATTTCTGTCATGTTGAAGTGCAAATTGCCGACATATAGTTTCCTGTCCACAGGTCCATAGGGGCCAGTAGCTGCACCTGTAGCATTTGACTGAACAAGATTCTTTTCAGCCTCAGAAGGTTTCACCATCACAGGTTGTCCAAAAAGTGGCTGGCCAGAAAGAGCTATTGCCATTGGAACAGACATCACGTCATAGAACTCGATATACCTGCAGGTACCACATATAGTCACTAAATTGTTAGAACAAAATCAAATAAACAAATCTGAAGTAGAACTTACAGAGCATCTAGTAAAGAGATGAATAGAAACTAAAACCGAGTGCAGAAAGCTCATTGCTGATTTTCTTTCTGCAAATCTGATTTCCATATAATAGAATTTGTTAGCCAATACAGGAAAAAGTAACGTAATCACTAACCAAAATAAAGCAAAATAAAAAGTTGTAACCTGACATAAACAAGAAAGATAAGTGATGTAAAAATAAAGGCCTTTTCCAGTTTAACAAGTGCAGAGGAAATTGCTGAGAAAAGAGTGAAGGAGCTCCAGTGCAAGCTATCCTCACAGACCAGAAATAAGTGTTGAAGATACCATTCACATCATAAGAGGCATGATTTAAAAAGAAAAGGTGGAAAAAGAGGTTTCAGAGGTGTTCTTGTCCCACTTCTATTACAATTTCTCTCAGCAGATGAGAAACCAAAAACTTAGCAGGGAGACAAAAACAGAGAGTAGAGAGCTCGTATGAAATTGTTTCTAGGAGGACCAAGAATCTATGACAGCAAATTTATTGTCTTCACCTGGAAACACTCATCAAGGAATAAAAAAAAAGAAACAACAAACTTAAGTGTATGTCATCTACCTTGAGTGCGCAGCATGAATTGATTAAACATGAGTGCAAGGTATTCCCATCATCCATCATCATTATCGCATTGCTAGTGCATTTAAGAATACAGTTAAACTTGATTCTTGTAAGCAATATGCTGATAGTTTATTAGAGCATAATAGGACTTATGAATTTAGAATTTACATACCCAACTCCTTTTGATCTCCTTGAGTTCCTGTCCATTATCAACCTAACATCCCTCACCTGAAAATTTAAGGATATAAACGGTTGGTGATGATGAAGATACAATGAGCACCATAATGGCAAAACACTTCAAAGGCATCCAAGATATTGCTGCAACCAATTTCTGGATGGTCCATAAATTTAACAAAAAGTTAACTCAATTGCAAGGATCTTAAACTCAACTACACATCTAGGATCATGATATACAATAAAGTCCTCAACAGATGACAAAGAACCGAAGTGGCGGAGTTAAAAACCACTATGACATAACAACACAGCTGACAGTGACCAAAGAAGGTTTTCCAAATGGCAACTGTCAATACCTGCACCCAAGCAGCAATTGAATAAACAGCTCAATGCATAAGAAAGAAGATATGACACAAAAACAACCACAAACTCACAGCCTATGAGATATTGGCAGAAGCAAGTATGATCAGCAAATTAACCGAAAAAAGTTCACTAACCTTGCCTGCCTTGGAGAAGAACTCATACACATCTCTCTCCGTAGCCTTCAAAGGCATCTTCAAGATATTCCAAAACAAAATAAGTTCTAGTATTTTGGACGAGAATGTCATTCTGCAATGTGATTCTACAGAAGGAAGTCTGATCATATATCCCTACCTGATAGGCAAATACAGTTCTCTGATCCCTCTCAGGGTCAGCTTCAGGCTCCACAACTTCTTTCTTGTCTTTAACCCTCCTGTCACCAAAAGAAAAAAATACAGCTCCAAGGAATAATAAGAATACAGCCACAGTAGCAAACGACCATAAGCAGCATTAGTTGAGCCTGCATAGGCACAATAAAATAGCCATAGCCAGCCGATAACCATTGCCGACACAGCTGCAGAATGTGAAACATCTATTTGGGTCTACACTTTCTTAAATGGAGACCCAAGTTTAAGCAGTCAAGTCAGGTAACCTCATAGTTCCCAAAGTACGTGTAAGCCTATGGTGACAGAGAGAAACCTACAAGTTGTACAATCAACCATTACAATCTTCGACAAGTTCAGAACTTTTCACATAAGAAGTAAAATACCCAAATTGAAAGCCACCAAGGCGGCAATTCAAGACCTCACAGCAGGATTCCAAATCACAAACCAATAATAACGAACAGAGAAATCAAATAAAAATGGGCAGGCACCTGCTACCGCTGTCTCGCAGCTCAACTTCCCTTTCTCTCTCCCGCACTTCCTTCTCCCGATCACTGTACCGACTCCTGCTTCTTTCCCTCCTTGACTTGCTCCTGCTTCGGCTTCTGTCCCTCCTGCTCTTGCTCTCGCTTCTACTCCTCTCCCTCTTGTCCCTTCCTTCCTCTCGCTCCTTATCCATCCTTTCCCTCCTCTCCTTCTCCTTCTCTCTGTCTCTCCTCTCCTTCTCCTTATCTCTGTCCTTCTCTCTATCTCTGTCCCTGTCGCGGCGGTGTCGATCCTTCTCCCTCCCGTTCTCCTCATCGTCGCCGCCTCTCGATCTCTTCCGGCTCGCCGTCGCGTCCTCGTCGGCTGTATCCCGCTTTCTGTAACTCCGCTCGGTCTTCTCCGCGCCTTCGCGCTTGCTCTTCTTGGCGCTCCCGTCTCCACCCTCCGCTTCTTCGACGGTCTTCTCCAGATACTCGATCTCGTCAAAATCCATGGTTGTTTGTTTCTCTGACGGAGCAAATGGCTTTCTCGGAGAATCTTCGGTGAACCGATAAGAAAAAAAAAGGGTCGGGTTAATTGGGGGAATTGGAGATTTTTTCTTTTAATTTTAGGGTTTTGGCGAGGGTTTGTTTGTACTTTGTAGAGGGCCTTTTCCAGCAATACTTTGTAGTTTTGGATAAATTACAAAGCTGATCACCATAATAATACGTTCTTTCATATTTATCACTAGAAAAAAATAAATAACACGACTGCCACTATACTCATGAATAGTTACACTTTTAACCATGGATAAATGTCAAGTTTGGTCACTGGATTTACTAAAATGTGTCATGTTTAGTCACTGGAAAGAATTAATTTCAATAATGGTCATTGAATATAGTAAAACATGTCATGTTTGATCACTCTTCGTTAGTCTCCATCCAACTCCGTTAATGAAGTCCGTTAAGTGCTCACGTGCCAAACAGAATTGTTTAATCGGCCAGATTTAACCCGGAAAACACTTAACCCGACCCGCCACATCATCACAACCGGCCATGTCATTAAAAGACGAACCCATGACACACACAATTTGTTGGAGCCTCTTACTGTGCAACTCATTGTATCTGGCTGAGAAGGATCCATGACCAGATTGGATGGAAGGGCAGTGTTGAGAAGGCTACTAAGATCATGTGTGATAATAGCTCTACTATCAAGCTTTCCAAAAATCTCGTGCTTCATGGCAAGAGCAACACATATAAATGTTTGTTTCCATTTTTCTTAAAGAATTGGCAAGTGATGGAGTGGTGGAACTAGAGCATTGCAGAACTCATGAGCAGGTTGTTGATTTTACAATAAGGCCCTAAATTAGGAATCCTTTTAAGTGTTGAGAAGCAGTTGGTGAATGGTGGACCTAACAGAGATTGAAGCAGCTTGAAGTGGTATGAACTGACTTCAATTCAAGGGAGCACTACAATAAAATCGGCCTATTAGGACAAAAAATTTATTTCGTCATTTTCTGTTTGTCACAATAGGTACGGTGATATGACAAAAATAATATATGTCCTATTTGGTATGCCTAATGTGACAAAAAAAAATTGTTGTCAGAATAAGTCGTCATTTAAAGTGAGTAATGTGACAAATAATTCGTGTCCCAATTAATTTTGTCAAAATAGGAATCCCATATCGGGATATAAGAGACACGAATGTGACAAATTATATTGTCATAGTAGTTTTGTCATATTATGTCTTCCTGAATTGTTTAAATGACAAAGTATTTTGTCACAATAAATAACAATAATCCCACGGCGAGCTGACAAAGAGCATGTTCGTCATAATATAATGGTTTTGGCTTTGACAAAATGCATGTTCGTCATAATATAGTGGTTTAATTTTTGACAAAAGACATTTTCGTCAAATTTGCTTGTTTTAAATTGAAATTTCGTGTTAGATTGAACCAATCAGCGTCGACACATTTTTTCCCCACCAAAATTTCAGTCCCGCCCAATTTTTTAAGTGTCCACTTTTCAATCTCTCCCAATTTTTAGACCCCAATTCCAGCCCTCCCAAAACTTAAAATTCTCTCTTCCCCAACAAATTTTTCATTTACCGTAAGCTCTCACTCCTTTTCCTCCTCTTCTCTTCTTTTCATTTACCCTAGGACCCAGTACGTTTCCCGACCGATCTCACTCCTTCCCCTTTTAATCTCTTTTCTTTGCCTCTTAATTTTTTTTTGTTTTTCTTTTCTTCTCTCTACCTTGGCTCTGCTCGTCTTACGGCGACTAGAGCAATGGTCGGCGGCGATGAGTGATAGGCGAGAGGGCAGAGCAGGACACGGCGGCGGAGATGGAGGCGGCGACGAAGCAGTGGTGGACGTTGAGTCTGTGAGATCGACTGGGCGCTGTGATTGTTGATGGCGATAGCAGGGTGATGTAGATCTGTCTTTCTGGCAGCGAGAGAAGAGGATGGCGATGATGGCGGCAGCTCGGGTCTTAGCACCCGAAGATGTGAGAAGCCGTTGAATCGGGGAGTCTCGTCGACCTGGAGCTGGAGGTACCGGAGGTGGCGAGGTTTGGCGACTGGCGACGAGCCGACGGTTGGTCTCTTGGCTTCTCCATTCGATTGAAGGTGAAAATCAGAAGGTCGGATTGGAGATCGACTCTACTGGCGGCTGCGGCCGTGATTGAGTTGTAAGACTATTATGTTTGTTCTATGTTCTTGTTATGTACATCTTCTTCTTGCTGCTTTTCTGTTTGTTTTTCCAGCTTGTGCTCGCCAGAATTTGCAGGTAAAGCAAATCTTGTTTCTGGGTTTTGTTCGGTTTGATTGCCATGGGAAAGGGTTTTGAATCTGTAATAGATTCGAGCTTCTTATGATTTTGAATCTCTCTTGTCTAAGGGATTCTAAACGATTCAGTTGATTTATAAGTGTAGCACTATCTACAATCAATTTAGCTGTTTTAGTTAGCTCAAGCCCTTGAGACAATGAAGATTTAATGGGCTCATGTTCGAATTAACCTTGGATATGGTCTTTAACAGGTCCAAATCGTTGCTGCTCAAGCCCTTACAACAATGGCAATCAGGTCTGGCGAGCCTTATAGGCTGCAAATTTATGAATTCTTGAATGTATTAGCACATGGTGGTGAGCAGTCTAAATTGTCAGAAATGCATCTGAGTAATGGGGAAGATCAAGGTGCCAGTGGTACTAGTCTTGGGGTGTTGATTAGTCCCATGATAAAGGTTATTTATGAGATGTGCAGGGCACAAGATGAACTAATCAAGAGCGTCAGTAATAATAATGTGTTTGTCAAATAAGTTGTTATCTTGATATAATTTGATTTTCTGTTGTTGGAGGGATATACACAACCATGATAATACGAATAAAGAACGGATCGATGAAGAATTGAAGAAACTTTATGAAACCAATGAGAAGCTGCTAGACATTGTTTCACTCATCTGCTATGTTCCCAGAGCGAAGTATCTACCCCTGGGACCAATAAGGTTGGAGATCCTTGCACCCTTTTAAGCCAGTTATGCTAACAATGACCTCCTCATTTGTAGTGTACTACTGTGTATGTACGGAAACCTTCTAGTTTTGGGGTTATAGTAGTCCGCTGCTTGTTATAATTTTTGTTTTCCATCGTATGAATGAGTTATCTTCCTGTCAATATAGTAACTGTGAATTAATTTTGAGATATAGTAAAGGTTGTACAAAGACAACTTCAAATTGAAAGCACCTACTATTTGTAGTGTTTGCTGGTATGTTTGTATTATTGATGAGGCTTTAGAAACTTCCATTGTTCTGTTTTATTTCCTGAATATGTAATGGGCATAAGGCACTGTAAATGGTTGAATCACTGCTTATACTAATTTTATATCGATAGGGAAGTAAAGTATTTTTTTTTCTTCTGCAGATAATCTGTTGCTACAGTAGATCTGAAGTCTGTGAAGCTCGCAGATTTTGGGCTGGCAAGGGAAGAAACTGTGGCTGAGATGATGACTGCAGAGACAGGGCCTATTATTGGATGGTTGCTGAGGTTAGTGCATACATTTCTTAGCATACAGTGTAATTTTGAATGTCTGGAAAGAGTCTCACTTTTTGGAAAAGGACAGTGCAAAGTTTGTAGACTTTTGTTAGAGTGAGAAGGAAAGTCATGTGCTAATTCAAGTTATTTTGGTTTATAATGGTTTGTTATAGTACCTTTAATATACTTTGAACAGTTAGTTTCATTAGTTTAATATCTAGTTTTCAGTTTTCACAACCCATGGAGAAAGACTTGAACGCAAGTATACTTTGAAAATTTCTCATTGAAATTGTTTAACTTGTTGCAGTCTGCAGATTTTTTTATTATTGTTGCAGTTTTGTAGATTTATTTTGTTTGCTTATGTGTTGTTGCAGTTTGTCAGTCCAATTTGAAGAATTTCAGTTTATGTTGCTGTTTTTCTAGAGGAGGTGCTTAAGTCACTAATTTATAGAATTTCTGCTGCAGGGGTTGGTTGCTCTGATTTTGCTTAAAGCCATGTGCGAAAGCTGCAGCAGCTACTTGCAGGTACTAGCGTTTGAGGCCTCAACCACTGATTTAGTCTATTAGTAGGTAGATTTGTGCTCATCTCAGAATAGTTTCATCTTGATCTTGTACTTCTATGTATCTCTATAGCAAACCTATAGGTTTTCTCCACAGATTGTATGAACATATAAGCGGCAGCAACAGTGACAACAATAGGCCACCGTTGTCGAGGGATTCAGAATTCTCATATTAGTTTGTTTAGGACACCAGAAATAGTTAGATGTGTAACTAGTATTTGTTTGATCGGTGTTTCATGCTACAAGAATATTAATTTTTTCAAATATCTGTTATTTAGTACATTGATGAATAAATCATATTGTTCACATTATACAGTTATGACAAAATACGTTTGTCCTAATATTAAGTTATGACAATATATGTTCATCATATTATGCAGTTATGACAAAATATATTCGTCATACTATGTGTTTATGACAAACTTTGTTCGTCACAATTATGTGATGTCAAAATATACTGGTGTAATATGACAAACAATTCTATCAAAATAAGCAAATTATGACAAAATTTGTCGTCATAACATCCCTGTTTGTCACAATAGATAACCCAGAACCGCAGCTATACTGAAAGCAAATGTGACATCCTTGTTTTAAACTTTTGTCACATTTGACCTATCTTGACGGCGATAAAATGACAAACTTTTATGACAACATATTTTGTCATATTATACATAATATGACAAAATGAGTATCTAATATGACAAAATTGTCTCGTCATAATAGACCGAATTTGTTGTTATGATTTGATGATGTTTACGCTTAGTTAACTATGTGCATTCTTAAGTTCATGTGTATGTGTAGCATCAATCTCACTACAGAGAAATTATATGAATGTGAATAATTATAAGTTTAGATCTCCTTCTTGTGGATGAGATCGTCCTTGACAAACTTATGTTGTCAAGCAAGTAAGCGAGTATATGTTGAATTACATCTCTCCATGGTGTGAGAGATGGATTCAGACAAGTAGGGGTGATAATCTGTCGGTAACTGGTAAACCGGTTACCAAATTTACTGGTAAATGGTATACCGAGTGTGAGCAAGATACGATCGATTATCGGTACCAGTTTGTAACCGGTTTACCGTTACCGAATTATTGGTAAACGGTTACAAACTGGTTTTACCGAATTACCGTAAGGAGTAGATGCAGACGATTTTTTTGGTTTGGTTTACCGGAGAATTTCCGAACCGAATTCTGGGCAGTGGGGGCAGGTTGTAATATTTTGATTTTATGAGTTTTTTTTATTTTTGTAATTAATAATTTATTATTAACTCTTATTTATAATATTTTTTAGGCCTATACTTACTTACTTCCATTCATGTATGTAATATTTGTGAATAATGAAGTATATGTTATATGTTAATGCCTCAACTTAATATTTGGCAAACTCAAAGTTGCTATCTATTAATCTATTTTATTTAACATAAGTTCAAAGGGTCAACAATCATGATTCATGAAAACTCTCATCAAGCATCATCATTTATCAAATATTCAAATTCATCAAACGACAATTCGACAAACATCGTCAAATTCAAAGGGATGACAAGTCAACAATCAACATAAATACATAATCGTCATTTGTCAATCGACTAAAGTGCTCAATGATAATGTCTAAATTCAACACAAGTTCAAAGTCCAAACTTAAAAAATAAAATAGACAACCAAATAACCAATACATCATGCTTCTCCTTCTCTGGTAGAACTTGTAGCACCACCAACATTTGCACAACCTTGCTGCTTCAAACTCCTGAGAAGAGTATCATCGGGATCATCATCGGCATCTTGGTTCATGTATTCGTCGGACTCGGTGGATTCTTCATCATCACCCTCCTCCTCCTCCTCCTCCTCCTCCTCATCAACCCTAACAGGTAAGCTATGTGCTCCACTTGGGATGTCACTTGCAGTTTCCACTCGAGATTGGAAAGTATTAGTAACTAGTGCAAATAAAATACACAAATGTTAGTATGTTACTAATGGAATGGTTTAAAATTTAAATAGTAAAGAGTATAGACAAATTAAAATTATAGGACCAATCATATATAACATGTAATATTTTATCCCTAAGAACTCTTTTAAGACCTTTTTTAGCAAACGAATTAAAGAAGTTCAAATTTTGAAATGATGAATAAACAGGAATAAATTGAATTCTTACCACTTTCATAATCGATTGTCTCTTGATCTTCTTCCTTATCATTAAGTTCATCTGCAGTCTTTCCACTTTCATATTTTATCCAATCTTCAGCACAAATCAATGCCTCTACAATGTTTGGGCTTAAAGAAGACCCGAAAGGACTAAGAACTCGACCTCCACAACTGAAAGTGGACTCCGATGCAACAGAGGAGATTGTAACTGCTAATATATCCCTAACCATCTTTGAAAGAATGGGATATCTAACATTGTTTCGAGCCCACTACTTCAGAATGTCAAACTTCCGATCATCAATCTCCTCATTAATAGCATCACCAACATCTCTCAAATATGACTCCAACTCACCAGAACCTCGACCCCCCCCCCCCCTCAATTTGCTCCTTTCTCTTCTGCTGGAACCGAGCTTCAAATGATCCTTCCATATCAACAAAAGATCCATCACTAGTCTCAATAGGAGTAGAAGTCTAGGTAGTAGACCTCGTATAATGCAATCATCTCCTTCTTTACTTCATCTGCCAAAACTCCCCCTTTTGAGATCCCATACATTTCTTCCAACATCATAGTCAAATAGTCTAGCTTATGCCTGAGATCTAGCACACAAGCTAGGTAAACTATCCTATTTATCCTAAGGTTGTCCTCCTCATCATCCTCAAACCAATACTTTCTCACCTTTGCCTCTATTCTTTCTGCCATTCTTTGTATCTATCCATCTGCATCTTTCTTCAATGTTGCCATCACTTCATGAATATCCATAATGGATTTGCAGAAAGTATGTGCAGTGACATATGATGTTCCTGATACAAAGTAAAATTTACCGAACATTAGTATAAATAATATAACTCATAACTCATAATCATTCAATTTAATTTTAAAATCTGACAGTTATCACTTCATATACCTGATACACGAAGAGTAAGCTCATAAAAGAACTTCAGGTACTTCATGAGCCGCCTAATACTGCTCCAATCATCTTCAGTTGGAACTTCTTTGAATCCATATAGTCTCGTAAGGAAGAATCAGTAGGACTAGTATACATGAACTTAAAAACCTGCTCAAACCTCTCTACAGAATACAACATCGGATAGGTGGAATTCCACCTAGTCAGAACATCCAAAGACAACAGTCTTTTCCCATCCATATCTAGATAGCTTATGCCTTTCTTGAACTTTGCACTCCGAGCTGGGGATGACTTCACCCATTTCACACAATCCCTTACCCTCTTCACAGCAACTTCAACCTCCTTCAATCCATCAGAAATAACCATATTGATGATATGTGCCACACATCTATACTGTAAATACTTTCCATCTAGCAAAGTCGTTCCCCACCCCTTCAATTTTGTTTTCATGCACTCAACAAGAACATCATTGGAACTGGCATTATCCATTATCATGCAAAACAAACTCTTCACTTTCCATTCTTGTAGACACTTCTCCAAAGTAACTGCAATATCCTTCTCTGTGTGACTATTAATGGGAACAAAGCAAATAATCCTTTTCTGTAACTTCCAATCATCTCCAATAAAATGTGCAGTCACACACATAAAATTTTGGTTGTTATCACTAGTCCATGTATCTGTAGTGATAGATGTTCTTCCTTTGCACTTTGAGTTAAAAAAACTCAATCAATATTTCTTTCTTCTCTAGAAAAATGACATAACAATAAGAGCTTATTGTTTGCCTACCAGGTATCACAAACAAAGGCTGAGTTGTTGCCATAAATCTCCTAAACCCCTCCCGCTCAACAAATCTAAACGGAAGCTCATCCAAGATTATCATCATAGCTAATGCATGTCTGGATTTCTTCTGATCAAACTTCTATGGAGTAAGAGAGCCTACCTCACCATCTCCACTTCCAGGTTGATAGTTCAATATCGACTGACCACTAGCTTCCTTCGCCCTCCTCTCGCACGTTAGGTGATGGCTCTTCAAACCACTAGTCCCATTCCAGGTTGAATGAGCTTTGAGCAGCGTCCCACACCGTTTGCATTTGCCGTATGGGTAGTCATCAACTAACTCACGGGTGTAAGGAATCCACCACTTAGATTTTGACTTCCTCCCCTTCCCCTTGTCAATTTTCTTCTATACACCAGGTACCTTAGCAGATGGAGGAGGATTTGTTGTAGATGGAGGAGGATTTGCCTCAGGAGGTGGATTTGCTACAGCTGCAGGTGGAGGAGGATTTGCATTAGTGGAAGAAGGTGTGCTGTCAAAGCCTTCCCTTTTTTTGAAGAGCTTCGAGGAGGTAAAGAACTAGCTTTCTTCTTACTACCTCCTCCACGGCTGCCAGCAGAAGGTTTCGTCCTACAAAAAAAAACAACCTCAATTCACTTCCAACTGGTACTCAGAATGCATAGAACCATGCACCAAAAGTAAAAACACAAGAAAAAACAACTCTACTAAAATGCAGCAGAGAAACACACTAAGATGGTGCAAAAAACCAGCAAAAAAGCCAAAATCAACAACAACAAAGGCATGTAAACACAACAAAGAAACCCTGATCATCATGGTGGTTTAACTATATGTAGCCATTTCCTGAAACCATCATTGGTAATCTTATGATTAGCATGTAACCAAGACCTAGAGAAATAAGACACCTTGTTGATGGAAGTATGAGGAAAATGAAGTGGAGAAAATCATAAGGAAATGTACTCGTGATTGTGGTGATCAAAATGGCAACTATCCTTTATCAACCTTCTTTCATAAGACAGGACGAAGAAACCTATTTTAACATAACTTAGATAAATGATAAACACAAGGAAGGGAATGGGCATTATAAAGTTTGGAAAGAAAAGCTAGGTCTTTCAATGCCAACCCAATCAAAGAAGTCTCAATTTTCTAAGCATTACTCTGTATGTATTACCCAACTGAGATGTAATGAGCTCAAACATCTACTTCCCATGACTACGATCAGTAGCACACCAAACACAATCTCAATTCACCACTGTTCAATAGCAAATCCAATTATCAATTCAGTATTTCAATTAACATACATTTGATTTTGTTGGGCTCAATGCCAATGGCCTATTGGTTGTTGCTGCCTCGGCACTCGGCAGCCTACTGCTGTCCAAAATCGAGTCTGGAGATGGACCTTCAAGGGAACTGGGGAAGGGTCAAAGGGAGACTGGGAGAGACAACTGGAGGAGACGAGGAGGTGGGTAGGTGGCAGCCCGGCGGAGGAGGACTGGCGAAGGAAGGTGGCGGTCAGGCGGAGCCACGGAGAAGGACTGGGTCTGGTCGTCTGGGAGGCTGGCGTCGGCGAGGGAAGGAGGAAGTCGGAAGGGACATGGGAGAGTCAGGGCCTCAGGGGAATCGCACTTTGCCGTCACTCCTTACTCGTCGCCGTCTGGGTTTCGAAGAGGGGTGATGCGGCGTCGGCGATGAGAAGTAGAGAGGAGGAGAGGCGGCGGGCAAAGACGAAGACCTCCTCCACATTCTGCGTCTGTGAAGGGCGAAGGGGTCGTTTTAGCTTTTTAGGGTTTCTAGGCTGACCCTCAAAACGCAGCATCCCGGTTTTGGTATTACCGACTTACCGTCGGTATTTACCGAGACGGGGGGCGTTAAATTGGATTACCTCAAGTAACCATCAGATACCGATACCGCCGGTAATCGGTTTACCGTTTACCGCCGGTTACCGGTTCGGTAAAACGGTAAACCAATTACCTGGTTACCGTTTGTCAGCCCTACGGACAAGCAAGTAACACCAAGATAATAAGTAAGAACGAGTAAGAACATGTTTAATCCTCACTTAGCTAGCTATGCACGCGGTACAGGATCCCCATTGTGTGGGTGTTTCGCCTTAGATAGGTGCATGATCCCCATTGTGTGGGTGTTTTGCCTCAAATAGGCGCAGGATCCCATTGTGTGGGTGCTTTTGCCTAAGATAGGCACATTTTACACGTTCATGTTTCCCCATTGTGAGGGTAGTCATGTAAGAAAATATGTTATGACAAGTTTATCGGACGGTTGCGCTAGGTAAGTGGAGGGCGGGGCCCCATTTAAGATAAAATATGCAAGACATGTATAAAGTAAACAAGAATAGTAAGTCCAATCAGTGTGATTAGAGTTTAATGGGGTCACATTTACAAAAAAATCTTATAACATTGTATTCAATTATCAATTAAATTTTCTTAAAAATATTCAGTCAAGTAGTCATTCATCAAACCATTAGTTATTAGATTTGTACCTTACATTTTTTGTAACTCATTATTGAAAAGTGACATTTCAATAACTAGCTAAAATAAATAGTTCCCAAGCAAAATCTACTACACACGTTTTATAAAAACATATTTGATGACAAAGAAATTGTATATTGATAGGAAAAATTTGTTGAACTAAGAGCTTTTTAGATATAGCTGGAGGTTTTTGTATACATATTTAGTAGAATTAGAAATTTTTAGAATAAGGACCATAAAATTGGGTATTTTCATTGATATATGACCAATATAGTCTCATTTATTTGTGTGTTTCATAATACTAGGACAATTAAATTCCATATGAATGGGGTCCTGAATTCTAAATCTACCCAAATTAAACAAGTATGTACATACATATAACCATTTTAATTTATCCAAGTGGGGTCCTAGGACCCCACTCCCTTCCACCTTCTCTGCCACTGAGTCCAATAACTTCTACTAATGTACCAATAACGTATCGTAAGTATTGCATGTGCATGGCTGTCTGTTTATGTATGAGGGATGGAATTAGGATTAGGACTGACTCCATCGCCCGCACTCAGGAGTTGCAAGGAAGCGGGAGAAATTGGATCACTTGTCAGGGGGAAGTTGCTGCTCGAGATGTCATCTTCACAAGGATTAGTGATTGCAGAAGATCCTAAATTGAACTCCTTCACTTATGTGTTGTTGTTAGTAGGCTTGAGACGGATGCTTATTTATGAATTGTTAAGAGTGATCTCCTGCGAGTGAGCAAGTGGGAAAACAGGGAGAGCAAAGTCAACTTACTACAACAACATCTAGATTTCCAACTTGACAATGAGCAAAATATTTGGATAAACTAAGAAGGTCTTTGAGCTTCACAATTTAATAATTGAAAACACTTTGGATCCATCCGGCGGAAAACCCATTTCAGGCGAATGATCATTTTGCCACTCCAACCTCAAGTGATAACGTAAAAAATCGAGAGAAGGATAGTTCATCAAGCAAAGAAATGCTTACCGTGGACTGACAATTGGTCAATTGCTGAATCCTTAATATATTCAACTGGGTTTGATCATCGCTTTCCTTCCCTTCCCTAGTAGCTTCTCAAGTTCCAGACTTTGAGTAAGGAAACAGAGAGACAGAGAGATGGACGAGCGACCCTTAATCGCCGCCGGCGACCGAATATCAGCACTGCCGGACGAAATCTTACACAACATCCTCTACCGTCTTGACGACCCGGGACAAGTGGCGAGAACCAGCTCGCTGTCCCGAAGATGGCTCCATCTCTGGCGAACTTACCCGGTGCTGGAGGTCGACTACCAATCCTACACGAAGTTCGCCGGATTCTCCGCCGCCTCGGCCCGAAGGATTACTCTGTACTACGAGAACTGCAAGGCGCCGCTGGATTCATTGAGGCTCTCACTGGAAATTCTCCACCCCTCAATTCTCCGGTTCACGAGTAAAGACGACGTCCGCACGCTGCTAGCTGCGGCGTTGGGCGGCGGCTACGGATCCCCGCTCGATATCGCGATCAGATTCGGAATCGACTGCTCCTACAGTTTCCCGGCGGGGTCCTTCTCCAATTGCGGCCGCACGAAAACTCTCAAGCTCAGAGGTTGCGACTTGAGCGGAGTGGGGACGGTCTCTCTGCTTTCTCTCCGTGTCCTCGATCTCGAATACGTCGATCTCACCCAACAATTTCTCCACAATGTCGTCGTCGACAATGCTCCCAATCTCGAGTCCCTGACCCTGACGCGATGTCCGGGATTGAAGAGGCTGGAGGTCGCAGTTCGCAACTTCCCCAAATTGCAAACCCTTCACATCGATTCGGGTTCAAGATGGGAACTCCAGCTTACTGCAGCGCCATTCTTACAGAGTTTGGTCATCCACGTGGACAAATCGTTTAAGCTGAAAGCAGCATCGTCAGCTTCGGCACCGAATCTCAGATGTCTGGTGATCAGCAGCCTCTTCAAGCAATTTGCGAGGCCGGATCACGAGGAATTCATCTCTAAGCTGCCATCTCTGGAGATTCTAAAGCTGTCGGGTGTGTGCCTTAGCGACGAGTATCTCCGTAGCCTCATGGACAAAGCTCCTCTGCTCCGGACAGTGAGATGTAAGCATCTCCCTCTGAAGGAAATGGTGGAGATATCTGGTCACGGTAATCTTTCTGAGTTGGGAAAATCGTGAAAGATCCCAAATGGAACGTTAACTCCACCTTACTTGTGATATTTTTTTTTTTTTTACCGTTTTGTAGAGTCAGTGGAAGACGACGACAACGACGACGAGGAAGTGTCGTATATTTTCCGTATGGTGCTCTAAGAATCTGATGAAGAGCCATAACTCGAAGAAACTGAGGATGAGAAGTTGGTAATGTTGAAGGACATCAAATGGTGGTGATAAGATACTTCAGGCGATAATGGTGGTGGTGATGATGCACAACATGGTAATGAGTAATGACAATGGTTTTACATGGTGGTGATGATGATAATGATGCAAGTTAGGTGGTTTTCTACTCTTTAGGGTTGGAATCTTGAATATGTTGTTGTTAAGTTTTGCACTTTCATGTTTGTTACGGTCTTGTTATATTTGTTAAAAATTTGCGAGTTTTCGAGATTAATTGTAGGACACTAATTAAGTAATTTATTTAAAACTTCATCAATTTATTTAATAACTTGATTGAAATTACAAAATTTGAATTAGAAATCGGCTAAAATTACACGTTTTGTCACTCAAATTATACAAACCTTTCACGTTTACCACTCGAATTAATTTTCTTTCTTATGTGCCACTAACTTTACGAATCGTTTCACCGTTAGTCACCGGCCGTTACACTCCGTTAAATTTGTTCTACGTGGCAGTCAACTATAAAATTTGACCGTTAAATAGATGACATGGAAACTAAATTTTTTTTAAAAATAAAATAGTAATTAGAGAAAAAATAAAAAAAAACTCGGTACCTTTAGTTGTTTCTCCGTTCTGTAGATGATCGGTGACGAGCATCCTAATTTCTTTGGCGCCCTGATCAGACTCAGTCGACCGCCGAGAACGTGGAGACTGCCGGGCGCCGGCGCCGCCTCCACCACTATCGGCTTCCGACACCAGAGAATTGCTCGAGCTCCAGACGAACATATGAAGCTTCGTGGCGTCATGATTCGATTTTCCACCGTCACCGTCGTTACTACTCGGTTGTAATGTCATCACTACGGCCTGCTCCAGCCACCAGAGGATTGCTCTTCGCCCCTTTCGCCAGCGATGCTGCGGCGGCGACGGAACCAATTTCCTGGTTCGGAGCAGGGTAGTACTCGTACCTTGGAGACACGCCTATAGCCATATTGGCGCAATTCTCCTCGAAATTAGACGACCTGGGAGTCGGCCCGCGGGAGGACTCAACAGAGTACACATCCTCTGCCCCGAAATTCAAAACCCTCGGACCCTACCCCGACCCGAACCCCTGGACTCCCAAGTGCCATCATCGAGTAGAAATCCGCCGAATTGAATTCCAACCCTTGGGAGTTGGATTCTGCGACGAGCTCAGACTGTAGATTTCGGCGCCGGTCAAATTTGACGGGCAAGGGGTCAACCTGGAAAACAACCCGACTTCACCATTCCCGTCGAGCCCCAACCCGGAAACTGACTGCCTCGAAACATTCGACTTCCTCGCCTTGACGTGAAGCTCCTCATCGTCCCCAATCTCAGATCAGTCTCCAGCAACTCCCTCCCATCGAGCAAAACGATGTCGGAGTCGACCTTAAACAACACAATCGACGCCGCTGATTCGGGGGAGTTGCTCCATGATCAAAATGTTGCCCCCGTACTCGAACAGGAACAAAAGCAGAGTGTACCAAATGATACATTGCAAGACGATGACCTGGACCATCAAGCTCCCCGCGTAAGGCCCGTACATGGCGATTAGCAGAGGGATTCCCATCACCAAGGTGTTGGGTAAAGTGGAGAGGGAGAAAATGATAAATTGATAATCAACCTCTCGAGGCTGCCAGATTTGGTAACGGTGGTCCAGATTCCGAGGGCGACGAGCATGATGATTTTTTGGAGAGTGTAGATGAGACGAAAGTTCACTGCGTAAGGATCTTTGGTGGAGATGATGAGGTGGAAAAATAAATGAATTTATTATTATTTTTTTAATTTCCATGTCATCTAGTTAACGGTCAAACTTTATAGGGGACTGCCAAGTAGGATAAATTTAACGGAGTGTAACACTTGGTGACTAACGATGAAATGATTCGTAAAGTTAGTGGCAAATAAGAAAGAAAAGTAATTCGGGTGGCAAACGTGAAAGATTTGTATAATTTGAGTGACCAAACGTGTAATTTAGCCATTAGAAATCACTGTAAAGTGTAAACTGTACATAGTACCTTAGTTATTATGAAGGGATATATATAATATGCCTCTTTACTATGCAGTTTTATCAAATATGCCCTTTACTATTTTTTACATCAAACATGCTCATTTACTTTGAAAAATGATCAAACATGCCCTTCTGTTAAAATTTTCATTCATAAACCATTAACCACGGTCGAACTTTGATTTGAGTGACACAAATGTCTAAAGTATCCCTAATAATTTCACTTTAGAATTTTTTGGCTTCTTTTGTATAGCCAAATACCTCTAATCATATCATTTTAACGAGACCTAGAGAAATAAATCGGGGGACAAAACTGACATTTTCCCTCCCATTTGTAGATGTCGGGTCGTCTAAATCTCGGTTCAATCGTGGTTGACGATTTTTTAATAGAAATTTTAACATAAGGGCATGTTTAATCATTTTTCCAAAGTACAGGGACATGATTGATGTAAAAATAGTAAAGAGGCATATTATACCTACAACGAAATGGGTTAGGGTGATTACTTGTTTTTTAGTAATCACGGTGGCAACCTCTTTATATACCATTAGATTTCACATTTTCCCTTCTTTTTTAATCTTACGGTCAAGATTCTTTTAGGGTAATTATGGAAATGAAAAAGTGACCACACCCGATTATTCTATATAATCTACCCAAACCCTAGTCCTACCCTTTCTCCAGCCAAAACCGCCGCAACCGCCTCCACCACTCCGTCGCACTAATCCCGCCGGTCGCCTACACCAGCCCCTCCCCTCGGCCACCCTCGACAACCACCCTCGACAACGACGAAGCCTACAGCCGACCACCCTCCCCTCGGTCACCCCGACGACTACCCCTAACCACCTGCTGCTCGACGACGACAACGCCTACAGCCGGCCACCCTCGACGATGACGCCGCCTACAGCCAGACCCTCCTCTCCGGTTACCCCCGGCCACCTCTCTCTCTCTCTCTCTCTCTCTCTCTCTCTGAGATGCATGTGGTGTAGGGGTGAGAGTGAGACGGAGGGGTAGAGGGCACCATAGGTTATATATATATATATATATATATATATATATATATATATATATATATATATATATATATATATATACACATACATGGAAGGTAATAAGAGCGAGAAGCAAAGTAGAGGCGGAAGACAAAACCAAAAAGCAAAGAAATTGATCTTTGTATGCAATGGTAGGGATCTACCATTTTTGTAGTTATCTGCACACATTGACAGTGATCTTTCAATGGTAGTGATCTTTTGGTGGATTGGTATGTTATTTGATCTTGTAATGGTAGTGATCAAGATGAGTTGCACTATTTTTTTTTTTATATTGCAATGGTATGTGTGTACGATTTTGTTAAGACTGGTATGCATTGGTAGTGATCTACGGCATGAAAGTGTTCATTGTTATACGTGCAATGGTATTGTTCGATTTAATTTTATGGAATGGTATTGGTTGCAGTTCTTCATTGGAGGGAGCTAGAAGTGTTTAAGTTGTTTAATTCTGTTTTATTGCTTCTGGGTTTTCTTTGTTGAACCTATTGATTATATTGGCAAGATACTTGTGTTGTGATTTGGGAGGAAGAAGATTGATTGAAGATTTGACCTGAAGAGAGTAGAAGGATTGGTTTGTATTCTTTGAAATGGTAGTGTTTTTTTTTTGTAGTGGTAGTGTTTTTCGCATTGGTATTATTTTTCTGTATTGGTATTATCATGTAACGGTATTGATTTGCATGTATTGATATTGATTAAATCTGCAATGATATTGGTGTTTTCTGAAATTATAGTGTTTTTAGTTATCGAATGGTGTATGTGTTTTGTGCAATGATAGTGCTTTTCTAATGGATTGGTATTGATTTATTGTTTGTTGTTGCAACGGTATTAGTTCGGCTAAACAATGTATGACCACACCAATACCTATCAAACCAAACATATATACCGATAAAGATATGTATAAATCATACTCCTATGACGTCTGATTAAAACCGACATCAACAATATGTCTACCAACACATAACTACAGACAATAATACTATTAAAACACAGGGGCAAGCAAAACAATTCATTTTAATGGTACTGATACTCAACCAATATCAAAGCATGCACATCCTACAACCATTATGCAGACATTCCGCATCCAATTCAATTTCAATATTAAATACCAATCCATCAAGACACTCCAGATTCCGGACATATGGGATGGAACACTTCCCCTAAGGGGATGTGAGTTTCCCATCCAAGTGTAATTTGGGTATGAAAAAAAAATTATTAAAAAAATTGTATTAATTATACAATGGAAATTAAAAACCATATTAAATACATGTTTTAAAAAACTTTAAATCCTACAATTAATACACTTATAAGTTATATCTCTCTCTTCCTTTTCCAGCAGCCGCTTCGCTTGGAATGGAATAACGTCACTTCCCCTAAGGGGATGTGAGTTTCACATCTAAGGGAAATTTGGGTATGACAAAAAACATATAATTTATTAAATTTTTTTGCATTAATTACACAATGAGAATTAAAAACCCATATTAAATACATGTTTTTTTAAATTTAAATCCTACAATTTTCCAGCAGCCTCTTCGCTCCGATCGTCAAGCTTTCTCCAACCGGCATACATTTTCCCGGTGAAATCCTCCAATCGGACTCGCTCCGACGATCTGCAAAAAAATCACTCTGTCACTGCGCTAGTGGTACTGATTTTCGTGTAGTGGTACGCTACCACTACCACTAGTAGCGATACCAGTGGTAGTGGTAGCGTGATACTGCTACTAGTGAGTAGTGGTACGCTACCAGTACCACTGGTACTGCTACCAGTGAGTACCGGTACGCTCCCACTACCACTAGTAGTATACACTAGACAAAAATTAGTACCACTAGAGATTAACATAAAAAAATCAGATATGAAATCTGAAAAATCCTAAATCTGAAAAAAAAAATTAAGGGATGAGGAAAGGAGAAGGCATGTGAGAGGTCGTTACATCTGCGGAGGCGGCGACAGTGGATGAGGGCGGCAGCAGAGGAGGACAACGGGAGAGAGATGGCAGCGACAGGGCTGCAACAGGGAGAGCGTGATAGTGAGGCAGTGGTGGGAGACGAAGGGCGTGACGGCTGCGGCAGGAGGGAGAGATGGAGGCGGCGGCGACATTGAAAGACGGAGGAGGAGGCGGCGGCTAGGGTTTTGGGGAGAGGGAAGAGAGAGGGAAGAGAGGAGAGAGAGGACGTGTGTGAGGGGGATGAGTTTTTTAATAATGAAAATAGATTATATAGAAAATGAGAAATGATCTTGTGTGGTAATATTTTTTTCATACTGAAAATACCCTTCTTTTAAT